TTTTTTTTAATTCCGTATTCTTCTCCTTAAGTTTGCTTGGATATTATGCAAACACGTGCATGCTTTGGTGGGTGCACAAGCACGACTATGGGGATCATAGGAAAACACGCCACTCNTAGTTCGGTCTAGGTAACTTACTCCATTGAAAATGGCGACGGTGATTAGAGAATTATATTACTTGAGAGGTATAATGTGCTGAGATATGTGTGTTCCTCTGATGTGTAAGTGGAGCTTATAATTTATAAGAGAGTATAGTCTTTATGGTGTCCCATAGCTAACTTTGTTGGAGGCGTCATCCTGGGGAACCTTNCTTATAATTTATAAGAGAGTATAGTCTTTATGGTGTCCCATAGCTAACTTTGTTGGAGGCGTCATCCCGGGGAACCTTGATTAAGGCGTCACCCTTGTGACAGAAGTTGGTGGCTACGTGATGATAGCGTAATGGACGAGTTGTTAAGGCTTTTGATGCATACCCTGATTTCCTTTATAAGATGGAGATTTCACGTGCGTCACTAGTAAACTGGATTTTCCAAGACGATAGGCTTGATCCTTGTTAACTTGTATTTCTTATCTGGACCTAATTGATCCTTGTTGACTTGTATTTCTGAGGTGGACTTGGTCTGTAATTCTAGGCCTAGTCTGGGCTAAGCCTATCGATGCGTATTCGAGAATTACGTTGTAATTATGAGTCCAAAAAATTGGTACTAAAAATGATTATTGGTTATAAAAGAGAAATAGACTTTGTCAACTCTCGATTGCCCAAGTAGATAGCTCCAAACCCTAGATTATGGTTCACCAACCGCAAATAGGACGGTCAAAAAAAGATTTATCATTGTTAAACATTAGGATAACTTATTATTTAACTTCATGAGAACGCAAATTTGCATGGAGATTAGGCAAGCACTAGTATTTAGGAGGTTTGGCCTCGTGAACAAGTTTTGTAGCACGTGGACTATGGTGGGTGCACAACTAAGGGGGTCATAGAATAGCAAACCACTCCCCGAGTTTCCCACCATAATGCACATGCACACACGCGCAGACGCATGCACACACGAGCTTGTTAATAACTTTGGATTAATTCTCGAAAGAAAGGTTTTGTATTAGGGATCTGACATTGGTAATTTAAAAGAGTGTCGTATAAAAACCTTGTAAACTTGAGGTTTGTCCACGTGGGTGCACAACTATGGGGAACTTAGAAAACCACACGGCTGCCTAGCTTCCCGCCAAAATACACGTGCACGTGCACGCACACGAGCGCACATTTTTGTTGATAACCTCGGATTTGTACCAAATTCTTGTAAAATTGAGATTGGTGCTATGGTTTTGACTTTGTATAAGAATAAAAAATAAAAAGAAAGGAGAATTCTCAACTCCAAGATTAGTGGAAACGTGATGGGCTTCATGTATGTTTTATTGAGATTTTGTGTGACAGATAAGGCTCCTCGCCAATTTCATAAGAATTGGAGAGTTCTTCGATTGTTTTTTTAACGATCAAAATCTATACAAATAAATCGATTGAATTAATTTGAAGAACATTTTAGAACTTTGAAATTCTAAATCTATTAAATCTACTTATGCATATAGGTCCTAAACATTCAAGGAGAATTTGGAGGATCTTCTACTTGTTAAAAAAATTGGAGGGGAGTCAAACCCTTTTTGTAACACATCACATTGTGCCTATCTTTTACACTCGGTATAAAACTTCATAATATTTAATATAAAGAATAATTCAAATAACATATAACAGAATAAAAAAATATGATTCATATATCCAATCCTTAATATTAGAGATAAAAGTTATTGTTCAGTTAAGATGAGTATATTTTACTCTTGATTTCTCCCAATAATAAATCATTAATTTTATATTGTTGAGGGTCCTATTTCTATAAATTTAGTTATTTTTAAATTTATGACATATAATATATCATTACAATTACAAATAATTGAAATCAAAGTGTACAAGACTAATTAGGGTAGCATAAAATTGGCACACTTTTATGGCTAGTAAGTGCTTGGATCAAGTGCTAATAAACACATTTTTTTTAAATTCAAATCTTAGCAACTCTTTAGGTCAAATCATAAGAGATTTATCTTTCATGGGCAATACCCTAGTTCTAACATGAATAATCTTCCTTTGATTGAATCGAGAAAGTGAAAATAAACTAATTCAGGCATTCTTTGACGAGTAATGATATGTATTCCAAATTTATAACTCAAATTTACATCTCAAATTAAGGAAGATCAGTGGGTCTCATTTAAAAAAATTGATGAGAGCCACTGATCCAATGTTACACAGCACTACTCTTCTTTGACTGTTGAACCATAGTGCTTGGATCCATCATGGGATGTTGGGGTTGTTGTAGGCATCCCAACCATTGATCAGGTGCTTCTCACAACAAATCTTTAAAACTGGTAAAGGTGGGTGAGAAAATAAGAGCACTCCGACCTGGTGAAATCATAAATTTCATGTAAGGTTGCATTAGAATAATAGTGATACTATCATTTAATAACAGCACAACAATAATTAGGTAAACATTGCAAAATAGAACAATTACACCTCTAGGTGGTGTAATAATTATTCATGTCAACAAAGTGAAATTTATTTTATTTATTTGACTATTAAAGAATGATATTAAGTAGTCTATGGTTCCCAAAAAAATTCGATACCATGTTGTCATTTACGATATTTGTTGGTGTTTTAATCACTTTTGTGGCAACTTACAATTGATTTTAAAATGTTATGATTGATCTTAAGTTACTATAAAAATGATAAAAATACTCTTAAAAATTATAAATCATTCACAAAAATTTTAAAAAAATTAAAATTATTATAAAAATATTCATAAAAATTATTAAAAAAATCACAAAAATAATAAAAATTAGGGGTACGGTACTATTTTTTTAGAGTAATGCTAGATGGACTTAAAAACTAAACTTAAAAATTAGACATGATAATATCAATCATTGAATAGGTAGTGGAACCCAATAAATGTTAGGACCTACAGTGAAATCAATGATTAAGATTATCAAGTCTATTTTTTAAGTTCACGTAGTATTGCATTTTTTTTTAATTCCGTATTCTTCTCCTTAAGTTTGCTTGGATATTATGCAAACACGTGCATGCTTTGGTGGGTGCACAAGCACGACTATGGGGATCATAGGAAAACACGCCACTCCCAAGCTTCCTGCCAAGATGCACGCATGCGCCGTAGTAAGAGTAAATATTAGATTTAATGTATTACACCGCATCAGCACCCAATGATAACTTAAAAATTAAGTAAAATAGAGCTCAATCTTTTAAATATGAGCGGTTTTAAAAAATAGACTTGATAATTTTAATCATTAATTTTATTATAGGTCCTAATATTTATTAGGAACTACTACCTATTCAATGGTTGAGATTATCAAGTCTAATTTTTAAATTTAATTTTTAAGTTCATCTAGCATTACTCTATAAATAATCACTTCTTCATATAAGATAATTAATAATAACTCGTACTTAAAGACATAATAAAATATAAAATTTTAGCGTCCAAAAAATTGATTCTATTAAATTTTTTTTAACGTGTGTATACTATCATATATGGGTAATATTTAAAATAAAAATTATATTAAATTACAAATTAATCAAATATTAAATGATTGAACATGTAATGGAAATGAGTGATTTGATATTTTTAGGAAGAAAATATTTAGGAATTAAAAAATTGAACTAACTATGTGTTTTATTATGTAGAAAATTATTACATATTCAAAAAGTGTGGTTTACTTGTACACTCACGTGACAATAGTGACCTAATTTGAACCATTACACTCAACATTTACACTCGTATCAGGATAATATGACAAATACGACAAGTATAGAAATGGCTCGTAGAATATAGAAGGCATTGCGTGTCATTTTCATTATTTTACTTTCCAGTTTTTTAATGACGGTTTTTAAAATGACAAAAGAAATGATCACATACGTCTCACATAATCACAGTAGATGGGTACTTTGGTTACAGTAATGTTGAGGGTTGAGGGACCATTACTGTAGTTAATCCATTAATATAAGATCAAATGTAATATCGTACCGATGTAATCTAGGTGTAAAAGTTGCTATGAATTGCATGGTACTGCCTAAAAAACACTATAAATCCAATTACATACTATTTTAAAAGATTTGTCCTGTTTAAAGTCGATTAAACCGAGGAAAAGGATTCGGGCACCAATATTCCTGGACTGCCTTTCAAGATTAAAATAAAATAAAACTCCATCTCTCTCTCTCTCTCTCTCTCTCTCTCTCTCACACACACACACACGATTATGTNAAGTCGATTAAACCGAGGAAAAGGATTCGGGCACCAATATTCCTGGACTGCCTTTCAAGATTAAAATAAAATAAAACTCCATCTCTCTCTCTCTCTCTCTCTCTCTCTCTCTCACACACACACACACGATTATGTATAAGCCAACAAGTGTACGTATTCATGATAAGGTAAACCCTTCTCTACGTAAACAGCTAGCTACAATACCTAGGTTTTGTAAACCAATAAAATGTTCCTAAGTAATGGACAAGTCCACGGTGCTGCTGAATGTGTTAGTATAAAAAATTTGAGCAATTTTATTGGGATCTAATTCACTATGACCTTTGAATTAATTGTGGGAGCCATCAAACATTAGAACTTGGTGTTGATCTAATGGTTCTACTAAAGTCACATCATTATGTCAGTAAATTAGGTCAGATTTTTAAGTCTAAATTTGGATGAAAAAAAAATGAAAGTACGGTGTTAGAAAAAATATTTTTCAGTACCAATGGACCACTCAGTAGACAATGCTGCCTATTTAAACAGCCTTCTTAAACCCTTCTCTACCACCCAATAACTCCCTCCCTCCCTCTCTCTCACATACACAAAAAANTAGACAATGCTGCCTATTTAAACAGCCTTCTTAAACCCTTCTCTACCACCCAATAACTCCCTCCCTCCCTCTCTCTCACATACACAAAAAAGAGAGGCATGGAGTTCTCCTTGATTTCTGAGGACACAAAATGGTGGGTCTTCACTCTGCCAGCCATTCTTGAAACCCAAAACTTACGCAACACCTTGCTCTTTTTCTCCGTCTTCATGGCAATTATAATTGTTATACTCATCAACTGGGCTTTCTCCACTGGTGGACCAGCTTGGAAAAATGGCAGGAACCATATGGGCCGTGCCTCAATCCCCGGGCCTCGAGGCCTTCCCATCTTTGGCAGCTTACTCAGCCTAAGCCACGGCTTGGCTCATCGCACTCTCGCATCCATGGCTTTGAGCCAAGCCGCCTCAATCCCGCTCATGGCTTTCAGCTTGGGCTCGACACCAGCTGTCGTGGCCTCGGACCCACACACGGCCCAAGAGATCCTAACCTCTCCTCACTTTGCCGACCGTCCAATCAAACAGTCGGCTAAGCAGCTCATGTTCAGTAGAGCCATTGGGTTCGCGCCCAATGGGCCATACTGGCGGCTCTTAAGAAAGATTGCCGCATCACACCTGTTTGCACCAAAGCGCATAATAGCCCATGAGCCTGGACGCCAGCTAGATTGCGCTGCCATGTTGATTGCCATAGCCCAAGAACAATGTCTCCATGGCGCTGTAGTTCTAAGAAAGCACCTTCAACTTGCTTCTCTGAACAGCATAATGGGACTCGTGTTCGGAAAAAAGTACGATCCAATGCACGAGTCTGACGCCAGAGAACTGCATGAGATTGTGAGAGAAGGGTTTGAGCTCTTAGGAGCTTTTAACTGGTCTGATTATCTTCCATGGTTGAAGTACTTTAATGATCCTTATCGTATTCATGAACGTTGTTCAGCTCTCGTTCCTCGAGTGAAAACCCTGGTTAAACAGATTATTGAAGAACACCAATCTGGTAAACCCTCCAAGATATCGAATGACTCTGATTTTGTCGACNCAGCTCTCGTTCCTCGAGTGAAAACCCTGGTTAAACAGATTATTGAAGAACACCAATCTGGTAAACCCTCCAAGATATCGAATGACTCTGATTTTGTCGACATTCTGCTGTGTTTGGAGGGTGAAGAGAAGCTCCAAGAGGATGATATGGTGGCTATTTTATGGGTAAGTATGTATGTTATTTTAAGTTAATTAATGGTGGTTTTCTCTAAGAAAATGTGAACAGTTCTATGCATATGCCAACTGTTTAATTGGCAATTGTTTTTTGNTTATTGAAGAACACCAATCTGGTAAACCCTCCAAGATATCGAATGACTCTGATTTTGTCGACATTCTGCTGTGTTTGGAGGGTGAAGAGAAGCTCCAAGAGGATGATATGGTGGCTGTTTTATGGGTAAGTATGTATGTTATTTTAAGTTAATTAATGGTGGTTTTCTCTAAGAAAATGTGAACAGTTCTATGCAAAAACCCATATGCCAACTGTTTAATTGGCAATTGTTTTTTGGGCAAGAAATAAAATTAACTGACACAATTTTAAAATATCCACAAAAATCTTAAGGATTGTGACATTCTCCGATCATATATTTTAGTCTTCACCAATATAATTACAATGGGCCTGTTTGGAGCTGACTAAGAACCTCAATTATTTTTAGTTTTGGAGAAAAAGAATCTTGNCTGTTTAATTGGCAATTGTTTTTTGGGCAAGAAATAAAATTAACTGACACAATTTTAAAATATCCACAAAAATCTTAAGGATTGTGACATTCTCCGATCATATATTTTAGTCTTCACCAATATAATTACAATGGGCCTGTTTGGAGCTGACTAAGAACCTCAATTTTTTTTAGTTTTGGAGAAAAAGAATCTTGATCTATTTGGATTTAGGTTTATTGGACGGATTTTTCATCAATTTTTTTTTTTTTTGACAAAAACAGCTTTTTTAGCAAAGGGAAAACCTAAAAAATTGGATTTCTCCAAAATTTTCTAAAGAAAAGTCAATTTTTACAGAAATACTTTAAACTATTTGAAAAACTTTTTTCAACTCTAATTTGTTTATTTCAATCTTCAAACCTCTGTTTCGAACTCAAAAAAATCAGTTCCAAACAAGTTCAATATACAATTGAAGGAAATTAAGAGCAAGCGGAGGCAAGGATTGGGGAACCCAACTTTTTGTATTTCTAAATTTATTCAAAAAAATTAATGAAAAATACTAATAATCCAATAAAACCTATTATATTTAATCTAGAGGCATCATAAACTACTATCATTTGGGTTAGCAATAAACCCGATACGAATATTATTGAGATCTATTCATAATTCAATGATGACTATGTATTAAATTCATAATCGGAAGATAATGTTATATTAATTGCTCGGATATTACCCTTTGCATATTTTCTTATGTATGTTTGCAGGAAATGATCTTCCGTGGTACGGACACAACTGCTCTTCTAACAGAATGGGCCATGGCAGAGCTGGTTCTAAATCCAGACATCCAAGCCAAGCTTCAAAATGAGCTTGACATCAATATTGCAGGAGACACAAGTATCACAGACGCTGATATTACTAAATTGCCCTACCTGCAAGCAGTGGTCAAAGAGACCCTACGTCTCCACCCACCTGGGCCCCTCCTCTCCTGGGCCCGTCTGTCCACGTCAGACGTCCAGCTCAGCAACGGCATGGTAATTCCCGCCAACACAACCGCCATGGTCAACATGTGGTCAATCACACACAACCCCACTATATGGGAGGACCCATTGGTGTTTAAGCCTGAGAGGTTTTTAGATGGTGGTGTTAATGTGGATGTGAGGGGCAATGACCTCCGGCTCGCGCCGTTTGGAGCGGGCCGAAGAGTGTGTCCTGGGAGGAACCTAGGGCTCGCGACAGTGAGCCTTTGGGTGGCTAAGTTGGTGCACCAGTTCGAGTGGGTTCAGGAGGTGGCTCATCCTGTTGATCTGACTGAGTTGCTTAAGCTTTCTTGTGAGATGAAGAGTCCTCTTGTGGCCGTGGCTATTACTAGGACCGAAAAGTAATTTTCGGTAGCATAGTTGGACCCTTAATCCATTAAGTTGGTTTCCTTCACCAAATATGAATGTTCTTTCATTAGAATTGTGATAAGGTTCTGCAATCTGCACGTAGCTATTGTGATTTACTGGGACAGTTAAGTTACCCAGAAAAAATTGTGATTTGTAACACCTAAATGGGAACTGATATACACACACACACACATGTTTGTATGTATACATAACCTTCTATCCTTATATGGATCATGGATGACTTCTCACTAGTAATCTATAATGTAGTAAGTTGAGTTTGAGCATGAGCATTTGAACCTGATTGATGATAAGCTTTAGTTTGAAGAGTTGAACCTTTCGAAATTAAACTCATTTTCAGCAAACCTAATTCCAATCCTACTAACAAATCATATTTGGACACACAAATTGATTCACTCCAATGGAACATAGAGATGCACTCACCATCGCTAATAGGCGTATTTAAATCCTCTCTATTACATTTTTCTTCAATTCTCACCCAATACGAATGAAAGACTTATTTATAAATAGTAGATCCTACTTGAATCTATGATATGTGATCTACCATTACGTGAAACAGTAAAAGAAAGAATCTCAATTACTAATAGGGCCTTTGAGTGAATGTCTAGCTTTGGTAGGGTAAGATTACGTGTCAGAAACATAAACACAGATGCCGGCAACTCCACTTCAACTGCGATTAGGCCTCGCAGATCTAATGGTGGTTTTTTCTATTTTTCGGTTCTTGGAGTTGTGTGTGCCATCTTGTGTGTGTTAATAGGAACATCTGTGAGAATGTTGGGAAGATATATTTCTTCATGAATATGTATGCATGTAAGTACGTATATGGGAATTTTCGCTGTAATATTTTCCAGTATCCCGCTTGAATCAGTTGAAAGCTCAACACATTGTTCTAATAATGGAGTCTTACCTTACATGATACTTTTTTGTTTAATTTTTGAAGAGGGTAGAAAAAATGTGCGTAACCTATAGTGCAAAAATGTCAGCCACTCAGTTGGAGAAGGGAGCTTCATCCACATGGTAATGGAACAGTTCTCATGTAAATGCAAGGGCTTTTTCATAGCAACTTAGCATGCCACCCAAGACCAAGNCATGATACTTTTTTGTTTAATTTTTGAAGAGGGTAGAAAAAATGTGCGTAACCTTTAGTGCAAAAATGTCAGCCACTCAGTTGGAGAAGGGAGCTTCATCCACATGGTAATGGAACAGTTCTCATGTAAATGCAAGGGCTTTTTCATAGCAACTTAGCATGCCACCCAAGACCAAGTACCTGCCGTCACATTTTATTTAGTATGATCACATCGTCCATACAAGTAAATATTTAGTGTAACTGTGACATCACGCTAATACATTCACGTATGGTATCAGCATCCAAAAATAACATACCAAGTGGGTAAGGTTTGCCCGGCTTTCTTGCATGTGAGTAGTTATTGCCTAATGAGTTAGTAGTTATTGTATTACATAGAGGGTAGATNGTCACATTTTATTTAGTATGATCACATCGTCCATACAAGTAAATATTTAGTGTAAATGTGACATCACGCTAATACATTCATGTATGGTATCAGCATCCAAAAATAACATACCAAGTGGGTAAGGTTTGCCCGGCTTTCTTGCATGTGAGTAGTTATTGCCTAATGAGTTAGTAGTTATTGTATTACATAGAGGGTAGATGGTGATATTACGTGATAATATTGACGTAGTCTCAGCACTGCATGAAATATTTTCTCCGTCATCAATATCCCCTCCCCTCCCCCCCTTTGAAGTAACATATCCTCCAGACAACTATAGAAGATATTTTAATGAATGAAGAATGAAGAAGACAGAAAGAAATTCACAAACAGAACAAGATTGACCCTCCCTAGGCCTTGTAATAGTGGGAGCCTAATGCATTGGAGTCCCATTTTATGAACACTCATAAATGAGCAGCAATAAGGATGCAGTTACTTCAGTACAAATAAGGTTACACCCCATAGTGTAGTTCAACAAAATTCAGACACCTAATTCCATTAAAAAAAAAATGTAAATTCGAATCTTAGTAAAAGAATTTCTTATGTATTTCTATTTATNGGTTCAACAAAATTCAGACACCTAATTCCATTAAAAAAAAATGTAAATTCGAATCTTAGTAAAAGAATTTCTTATGTATTTCTATTTATTATTTGTACATAAATTTGAAACAGATTTTGGATACTTGTTTTGTTGCTTTAGTTTTAGAGATTTATTTTGTAATCTTTCTTTGATGGTGAAACTTTATTATTGCCCTTCGTCTTTCTTTGATGGTGAAACTTTATTATTGCCCTTCGTCCGTTTGTCCCCTGTAAGCGAAAATTGCCATAGTTAAGGTAGAGAAAAAGTTTTGGTACATAGTGGGGTACTGTCGCACCCTAATTGACTTGGGTGCATAATGGCGGTCTTGGTGGGACCTTACACCAAGACATGCCATGAGTTTGAATCAAAGTGATGCGGCTAAGCGGTTCGACAGATTGGTGCAGACTGTGACAACATGAGACCACTCGGCTGAGTATGGCAACACTGGATGGGCTCAATTGAGGCCNTATCTGTCGCCTGTAAGCGAAAATTGCCATAGTTAAGGTAGAGAAAAAGTTTTGGTACATAGTGGGGTACTGTCGCACCCTAATTGACTTGGGTGCATAATGGCGGTCTTGNTGCTTTAGTTTTAGAGATTTATTTTGTAATCTTTCTTTGATGGTGAAACTTTATTATTGCCCTTCGTCTTTCTTTGATGGTGAAACTTTATTATTGCCCTTCGTCCGTTTGTCCCCTGTAAGCGAAAATTGCCATAGTTAAGGTAGAGAAAAAGTTTTGGTACATAGTGGGGTACTGTCGCACCCTAATTGACTTGGGTGCATAATGGCGGTCTTGGTGGGACCTTACACCAAGACATGCCATGAGTTTGAATCAAAGTGATGCGGCTAAGCGGTTCGACAGATTGGTACAGACTGTGACAACATGAGACCACTTGGTTGAGTATGGAAACACTGGATGGGCTCAATTGAGGCCATGTGGGTGCATAATTTCGTATTACATGGCATGGGCTGAACCCAGCATGTATAATGGATCGTGAGGCAAGGCTCGCTACTGAATTTGGATACATGATTGACACATGGCTGCTTAATGCATGTGATCAGGAGGATGTGGGCAGTTACAGGCAGTTGCTGAACAAGGCTTAGTCGGTGGGAAATAGTTCTGGGCGTTCCTAGTCAGATTCTAGTCCAGATGAATGCTAATGAGAGACAGTTTCACATCAGTTACTGNGTGGGAAATAGTTCTAGGCGTTCCTAGTCAGATTCTAGTCTAGATGAATGCTAATGAGAGACAGTTTCACATCAGTTACTGAATGGATGAAACTATCTGTCAGGTGTTGCACAGAGATGAAGCCTGCTGGCCATGTCTGCTAGGAAATGGCAGAATGTGAGTAACTACCTTTTGGCAGATGAGGCTGTCATCTGCCATAATCTTTGTCTAAATAGGAATGCTTGGGCATTCTGATAGTCAGAGAGAGAGTATTCTGGCTTTGAAAGTTTCTTGTAAGTTATTGAATTCAATATATAAGGTTCGAAAGTGTTGTCCCAGTAAATTCGTGTGTCCATTGTGTGTGAGTTTTGTCCCTTGTTCTTGAGATTAAGTGGCTGATTGCAGTAACGACGCCTTCACAGATAGTCTCAAAACGAAAAACGAGTTGTTACCCTATGACAGGTACCATAGTTATGAGTGATAATCGAGTTGAGTTTTGTAAATTTAAGTCAAGTTTGTTTTTTTAAACAGTCTAAAAAGTTGTTCAAGTTTAGCTCATTAAGTCCAAATCTAGTCGAAATTAAGTTTGAATAGCTCGATTATAAATCATAACCATAGTAGTATCCCTAAACTTGAAAGGATAAGAAAGTAAGCCCTTATAAGAATAGAAAATTTTCTTTACAATGGTGATATAATATGGTAAGGTGATGTATTATTATTAATCAATAATATTAAAAAAAATTAATAAATGAATGCCATAAAAATTAATTATTTATTTGTCATATAAGCAAATAATTTATTACTCTTCTTCCATATAAGTTCAAGTGAGACTCCTTTAAGGGTATCAACTTTGACCCATTAATACGAATCCGACACGAACGATTATAAAATTAATACAATTATTAAATACGCATAATAAACAGTCTAGACTAATATTTAATACTCATAACACACTAAATAATATTTTTTTCATTAGTGTTGAGAAGAACACGATACCAATAACAATGACACGATATAAATAACACAAAATATGAATCACACACGTACGCAACACGTTTATATTATCCATTTATAGTTTTATTATTTATTTTTTTGGCAGATACTCGCCTGTTGACATGACCTCCTAATTGGGAGAGTCGCCCCTGTCAATGTACTCCTGTCACTGCTTATCATCGAATTAAAGTTATAAAAAAAAAATACTACATTAAGGGACCTACACACCTAAAGTAGTCTTAATTTATTTAATATCAGAGCTAAAAAATTGAATTTTCAACCTAAAATAGCACAATAACTATCAAAATTAATCTAATTTTCATACTTTGATATAATTATACAAAATTTATCCTTAATTTTTTTTTTGCTCAAAAATATTATTTTCTTTACACGACCTCTAACTTAAGACAATTCAACTAACTCTCCGGTGTCAAATAATTCTACTAATCCACACCAACCTTTCTTTTTTTCTTTCTATTCACTTGTATTGTAAATTGTGTAACTAAAAAAAATAAAACTAAATTAATTTTTAAAATATAAATATTATATCATCAATGCTCAATTTTGGTATCATAGAATGTCTTAGTGCACATGATTATTATTTAAAATCATGGCCGGCACAATAATATTAAAAAAAAAAGTTCTTTAGAAACCGGTATACCAAATTAGATATAATTGTAAAAAAATACATAAAACAAAATATTTTGAAAAAAAAGTACACTGCTGAGATA